GAGACGATTCTATCAACCATCAAATGGAGGAGAAGGCAAGGACAGCTTGGGACGGACATCTTTGGTCTCTGTGAAACACGGCGAAGAAAGGAGATGGAAGTTAAGTGGAGACACAAAAACACCATCATGTTGGGAAAAGGAGAAGCCATGAGAACCGTTGGAGGAATCTGCCTCATCATCAACAAGGAATGGTTTTCATAAGTCATCTCCTGCAAGTTCAAGTCATCGTGCATCGAGTGCTATACCTCCAACTGAACAAGAACAGCATCTTCAAGATTATTCAGCTCTATGCTCCCACAAGCAAAGATGCCAATATGGAGGAAATCTATCAAGAGTTCGAGGAAACCCTCGCTCAAAAATCCACATATACGATCATGATGGGAAGATTTCAATGCCGGAGTTGGAGCAGGAAAGAAAGTGAGAAGTTCATTGGAAGGTATGGCATTGGCAAACAAAATCCATGAGGAGAGTGACTGGCAACTCTGGTGGAGACAAAAGAAATGTTCACTGGTAACACTTGGTTTAAGAAGAAGGTTGAGAGGAGGTGGACATGGATTGTGCCCAATGCGAAGAACAAGAATGAGATTGACTATATTTTGATTGATAAGTGGTGCATTGTACAAGACATCTTAGTAGTACCATCATTTAACACCGGTAGTGACCATCGCTTGCTCAGAGCACGGCTCAACTTCAACAAAAAGGTGAAGAAGCAAGTGCTACAGATGGCAAATCAGAGACAGCGGCCAAAAATATTTGACGAGGCAATCTTGAAAGCAAACATTTCCAAGGAAGACTGGAGTCTTATAGATAACTGTGATGAGGATTATAAAAAGTCACTAATAAATTTAGGCAATGTGTGAAATTAACCAAGGAAGAAAGACCGAAAAGAGTGACGGGAAGGATCTCGGAGGAAACTAGGAACTTGCTAGAGAAGCGGAGAAATATGAAGCAAAATGATGGTGACAAACTTGAGTACCCCCTCCTCTGCAAGTTGATAAGAAGACTAAAGGAGGACTTTGAGAAGTACAGAAATGAAAGGCTCTAAAAGATGGCTGAAGATCACAGAAGCCGCAAAAAATGCAAAAGGGAACTGACACTGTACAGGTCAACAATAATGACACTGAAGAACAAGGATGGAAAACCAGTAATTGACAGAACAGGGATGGAAGCGGTCTTCAAACATTTCTACATTTATCTGAGACACAAACAGTTCAATGTCCCAGTACCAACACTTCAACAGACCAATGAGCATGTACGCCCAGTCCTTGTCAGCGAAGTTTGACATGCAGTTCACCAAATGAAGGAAGGAAAAGCCCCAGGTAAAGATGGACTGACAATCAAAATTATAACAGCTGGAGGCTAAGACCTCTGGGAAACCCTTGCTCAGAGGTTTAGCCGTTACTTGGAAATGCAGAAGATACCATCTAGCTGGAAGGAATCCAATACCATTCTGCTGTACAAGAAGGGCGACTGTGAAGATCTAAAGAACTGTCGTCCAATATGTCTACTCTCACATGTCTACAAGCTGTTCACCAAAATAATAATAAAATGACTCTCACAGAGTCTGGATGAGCAGCAGCCGAGAGAGCAGGCAGGCTTTTGAAGGAATTTCAGCACAATGGACCATATTTTCCACTATAAACCAGCTATTGGTATGCTAAAGGGAATACAAATATTGCCTTAGTCAATTATGGAAAAGCATTCGACAGCATAGAGATCAATGCAGTGTTGAAAGCTCAAGCAGGGTATCAACCCAAACTATTTCAAATTATTAAACGAAGCACATATTGACTGCACTACAGATATAACTTAATTTGATACTCCCCTTCACATCCCAGTTAAGAAAGGTGTGAAACAAGGAGACACAGTTTCACCAAAACTCTTCCTCGAAATGGTAATGAGGTGGATGAATTGGAAGGGTGAAATCAACATCAACGGAGAGCAGTTAAACCATCTCAAATTCACAGATGATAGTGTGTTGATCGCTGAAAATACTATCAAACTACAGAAAATGCTGCGAGAACTAAACACAAAAAGCAGCCAAGTCAGACTGAAAATTAACCACTTCAAAACGAAATTTAGGCAGTCTGATTCCTTGCCAAAAGTCAAAACAACAATCAAGGGAGAACAAATAGAAGAAGTTGAGCAATATGTCCATTTGGGCCAAGAAATTAACCTGCCACACGATCAGGAAGGTGAACTCTCGCGAAGAAAGAAAGCAGGTTGGTGCGCATTCATTTCTATCAAGGATGTCCTCCAAGGGGGAAAAAAAGAAAAAAAAAAATCAACAAGGCAACATGCTCCAGCCTCTTCAACTCAACAGTACTGCCAGCAATGTTGTACAGCAGCGAAACATGGGCACTGACAAAGACAAAGAAGCAGTAACGGTCTGTCACAGAGAGGGCGATGGAAAAAAGAATTCTGGGAATTTCAGTCTGTGACTGAGTCCCCAGTGAAGTGATCAGACAGTAGAGTGGAGTGCAGGATGTCATCATTGAGAGCAGGCATAGTAAACTGCAATGGGCCGGGCATATAGCGAGGCTCATTGACAATTGATGGACTGCAGCTGTCACCGAGTGGTACCCACGGGAACTGAACGACCGCTCAGCCGATCTCCAAAGAGATGGGAAGAATTTATTGTGAAAAGACATCGCCGCATATGGAGACTGAAGGCCAGGATATGAGAAGAATGGAAGATGTGTTGTGATCGGTGCAATCTATATGAAGGCTGAAGGACCGATAGATCAAGGTGTCGATTAGAATTTTCTTCTTCCACTTCTGGTGTTTCTCAAACCAGTAGTCCTATCTATTCCACAGAGGTTCCATGGAATTTAAGAAAATTAATACCCTTCCCCGCCCTGGCTTACTAAATTGATTTTGATCAGGACCACAATGGCAGCACTATCTTCCGAACAGTAAATACTCTGTTTTTGGTGAGTTCTAAAGGGAAATGACCCAACAGAAAAGAACAGAACAGATTTTGGGTATGGGAAATGGTACAGTTTGTAAGTATTTTATTTTGATCAGTCATTCATTTTCGGTTACATATTTTGGCCTTTATGGTTGAGCAAGGAATATTCCATTGTTGATTGAGAACCAATGTAAACTTTCCCCCTTTTTCAGAAAAGGTGGGGATAAGGAGCCAGAGTTATTCTTCTCCCTGAAACATTGGTGGGAAATGTACACAAACCTCCCACACAGTACCATAAAAATGGCTGTAGTTCTTCCATGCCTGTGAGATAATCCAGCTGCTCCCTGCCTACACTGAATGTTTTCTTTTCCTCTCGGTTTGGTCTCTTGAAAACATTTTTCAAATTTTAGGCCAAACATCTCTAACTTTAGGTGCTAAACTTGAGTTCTTTAGGACTAGATTTTAAGAAGTGCTGGCACTCACACTTCTACTTATTTCAATTGTAATTGTAGATTCTCAGCAGGACACAGGACTAAGTGCATATTTTAGATATTTACAAAAAAAAAATCCTCCCTATTTGAAATGGTGGCAGTTAGAGCTTTATCAACACTACAGCAAATTGTGGTATTTTACCACCATTATACCTAGACCCATACAAACAGTTAAATACATCAGAGACTCCTGGAGCCTTGTCTACACTACAGCTTCTACTGGTTTCACTGAAGGAGTGAGTTTTTGTTTGTTTTGTAAATTTTCTTAGTGTAGACAAGAGCTACGTCTCAAGTTGAGCACACTAAAATGGGGACACCCACAACTAATGGATGCTTTCTAAAGTTTGGGTACCAATTTTTTTTTTTTTTAAAGAGATTGTGTTTTCTTTCCTCCTCTACTCCTCTGTTAAATTTTGTCCTTATTCTTAGAGAGATGGCTTTATTCAGATTTTAACACTTATCCTCACATGACATAGAGCTGCAAAATTCCACTGTCAAGGGATAACAGTGAGGCCCTTTTTCACTGACTCAAAAGTTCTCCGTTAGTGTGACAAATGGGGGTTCTGTCTGTACCACTTCTGAAACTGTATCATGAAATTACTGTCATGTATGATGAATCCCCTATGAGTTACCAGGGTTGTTTCATGTCTCTGCCAGGCCAGAGACTATGGTGAATGATCAGCACTCAATGATCATCTATTCAAATTAAAACACTTTGAGACAATAGATTTGCTCTACCTGGGAGAAGAAGCTTCCTCCTCCTGTCTGAAAGGAGTGTGTTTTGGGCAGAATAAAAGAAGGAGAGGAGAAGTCTATAAAGGAGCTCACAGGGCAGAACACACAATCCTATAGACTCTCCCCCTCCCCACACACAAAGACAACCCCAACCAATCATACACCCCATATGGAACCCCCCTTCAGCAATACAACCCATGCATGAGCTTACCCTCCCTCTCTCACACACACACACACAGACATATATAACACTTGCACACAGAGAACAGGTGTCTCCTCTAGGCCTTTCTGCACCAGGCTGAGCTGAGTTGCAACAAGACCAGTGTCTGCCCATTTGGAACCAGCATGGGACTCCCTCCCCAACCCCACCTCCCTCTGGACTCCCTTCCTAGAACAGACAGTTGGGAGAATCTGTGGAAAGCTGCAGTAAAGGGCCCACACCCCAGCACCCGGCACATTGTTTTGGAGAGTAGTCACAAATACTGAACAATGACAATAGGACCCTGGGCTGATGAGAAGCCACTCCTCAGTCTCCCAGTGGGGGGAAAGGGAAGGATCATCATCAGCACATAACACCCCAAATGTCTATGTGCAGTCTCTGAAGCCCAGAGCTGCAGACACAAACATTCTGGAACAAAAAAACCCAGCACAAGAGAATGAGAGGAAATAGAACTGTCCCATTACTGTGAAGTTGGGGGAGGAGGGGAAGGCACAAAGAATGGGACAAATGGCTTCCCACACTAGGGAGCATCAGATCCAATACAGCCCCAAGATGGGGAATGGGACATGAAGCCTTTTCCCTCTAAGGGGCACCAGCTTAGGGGCACAGCATCCAGCAAGCCAATTCTTGGAGACAACAGCACCTGCTCAAGGATTTGCGGTGTTCTGCACATGATCTGCTCTGTGCCTCCTGGGCAGGGCCTGGATCCACCTCTGTACATAGCACCAGCATGGAGCCTCTCCATCTTTTCCTCCAAAACAACTGCCCCTGGGAATCTGGGTCAGTTTTTCCCCAAATCAAAGGCTTTAATCCTTTTCTTTTCTCTATTTAAAGAAAAATAAATTTGCCAGGAACTCAACACTCCTGTGCAACCCTACAATAATAAACCATTGAGTACAAGTAACCCTACAATAACAAACCAGTGTGGATAGCCTGCACAGCCCCAGCACTGCTGAGCAACCCCATAATCACAATGCAGCCCAGGCACGCCAAGGGAGGGGAAAGCATTGGATGGGAAAACACATTTACGTGATAAGTTCCTGCTCCCCTTTTGTTCCAAACAAATATGAAGGACAGAGTACACAGTGAGATGACAGGGGAATCAGAGCTGCCTGCCAGGAGCACCCACCCCATGGTAACAGGCTGGGCATGGCACTCATCTGCCTCTGCAGATGACAGGGAAGAGGCAGTTGGGAGGATGATGGTCAAGGAGGGGGTGACTGAAAGGGAAGCAAGGGGATGGCAAGGGCAGAAAAGGGTCAGAGGGGTAGAAGTGGTCTTTCTGGGATAAGAGAAGAAAGAAGTTGAGTGGCTCAGTTTGAGACAGCAAGTCCCCAGCTCCCTAGGGCCTTGCTCTGAGGGCCAGCACAGATGCAGGCTGTGGAGCTGGGGTAGAGCCACTTTGCACCAGATTATGACGACAGAGGCTGCTGCAGGGGCAAGGAAAGCAGAGGGGTGAAGGATCCTGCCTAACGAACACAGATAATCTCCCCAGGACTTTCAAGGGAAGGGTGAGCTAGTGAGGGACATTGCATTTAGAATGTTTTATTGTTTTGGGTATGATCTATATTTTCCTGTGCTTTTCATAATTAAATATAAAGAGCATAAATACAAGACTGAACAAAATGAGTGTACAGACTGCTTCACAACTGCTGCATGCCGCTGAGTGTTAAATTATAAACCAGAAGCTTCACACCTTATGGGTGAAATTCTGGCAGAAGGGTGTGTTTAAATACTGGTGAGTCTGAAGGGCCAGTACTGTGTCCAGAGGAACACAGTAGCTGGATAGCAGGTTCTGACACTCGGAGGGGGGTGCCAGAGAAGGTCTGCACCTTGCGTGTGCACCCAGGTACCCAGACATTGGGGCAGCGGCTGGACTCCATTTGGATTTCAGGAGCCTGAAACACTGTGGGGATCCAGAGCACAGAAGCTTGGACTCCCCTCATAGTGATCCTACTGGATGGCTAGGAAGGAATGCTCACTAGCATCTGTTGATGAATGTCATAAATGGCTGCAGGATATATATTTTTGTCTTCTCCTGAAGTCCCTCTCTTATATGTAAGGCCCTACCAAATTCATGGCCATGAAAAGCATGTCGTGGGCCATGAAATCTGGTCTTTTGTGTGCTTTTACCCAATACTATACAGATTTCATGGGGGAGACCAGCATTTCTCAAATTGGGGATCCTGACCCAAAAGGGAGTTGCAAGGGGGTTACAAGGTTACTTTAGGGGGTCATGGTATTGCCACCCTTACATAGACGCTGCTTTCAGAACTGGGCGGCCAGAGAGCATCAGCAGTTGGCTGGGCACCCAGCTCTGAAAGCAGCACACCATACCATACCATTCCACCCTTACTTCTGCACTGCTGCCTTAAGAGCTGGGTAGCCAGAGAGTGGCAGCTGCTGACTAAAGGCCCAGCTCTGCAGACAGCAGCGCAGAAGTAAGGGTGGCAATACCATACCACGCCATCCTTACTTCTACACTGTGCTGACGGTGGCGCTGTCTTCAGAGCTGGGCTCCCAGCCAGCAGCTGCCTCTCTCCAGCTGCCCAGCTCTGAAGGCAGCGCTGCTGCCAGCAGCGCAGAAGTAAAGGTAGCAGTACCACAACCCCCGCATAATAACCTTGCAAAACCCTCCCCCCACTCCAACTCTTTTTCAGGTCAGGACCCCTACAATTATAACACTGTGAAATTTCAAATTTAAATAGCTGAAATAATTAAATTTACTATTTTTAAAATCCTATGACTGTGAAATTGACCAAAATGGACCACAAATTTGGTAGGGCCCTACTTATAGGAAGGTGATCTAGCATGAAGATATGAGACAGAAATACATTCATTTAGTTGGCAATTTAGTTAAAATCCAACAGTTTAACAAGTAATTTGCTTAGTAAAAACTTGGTAAACACTTTCTGTACTACAGATAGCATGACAGCAGATTCATATTCTTCAGGATACTTTGCCAGGGGAAAAAACCTAACAGATTCCCCTATGCAGATAGTCTAATATTTTATGAGACAATTTACCAGTTTTTACTATTGGTCTCACTCCAGTCTAAACTCTTAACTACATAGCTCTCCCTTCCTCACAACTTTAATCATATTGGGAAGATACTCATTTTCCACTCTTCCCATCAAGATGCTCAAAACTTACAAGTCAGTAACATTTCTTAAGTTCACCTGGATACCTTACAAAGCTACAAGAGGTATACACCACTATCTCTCCATTTAATTCAATGTTATCAGTCATCCAGCAAGACCTTTAAATGGAGGCCCATCACAAATCTTATAATCTTCCTTTATCTTACCTTTCAGAAGTGAAGCACTTAACACTTATTTCATTGTACTCTTAGATTCATAGATACTAAGGTCAGAAGGGACCATTATGATAATCTAGTCTAACCTCCTGCACAACGCAGGCCACAGAATCTCACCCACCCACTCCTGTGAAAAACCTCACCTGTGTCTGAGCTATTGAAGTCCTCAAATCGTGGTTTAAAGACTTCAAGGAGCAGAGAATCCTCAAGCAAGTGACCCGTGCCCCATGCTACAGAGGAAGGCGAAAAACCTCCAGGGCCTCTTCCAATCTGCCCTGGAGGAAAATTCCTTCCCGACTCCAAATATGGTGATCAGCTAAACCCTGAGCATATGGGCAAGATTCACCAGCCAGATACCCAGGAAAGAATTTTCTATAGTAACTCAGATCCCACCCCATCTAACATCCTATCACAGGCCATTGGGCCCATTTACCATGAATATTTAAAGATCAATTAATTACCAGAATCATGTTATCCCATCATACCATCCCCTCCATAAACTTATCAAGTTTAATCTTAAAGCCAGATAGGTCTTTTGCCCCCACTGCTTCCCTTGGAAGGCTATTCCAAAACTTCACTCCTCTGATAGTTAGAAACCTTCGTCTAATTTCAAGTCTAAACTTCCTGGTGGCCAGTTTATATATCCATTTGTTCTTGTGTCCACATTGGTACTGAGCTTAAATAATTCCTCTCCGGTATTTATCCCTCTGACATATTTATAGAGAGAAATCATATCTCCCCTCAACCTTCTTTTAGTTAGGCTAAACAAGCCAAGCTCCTTGAGTCTCCTTTCATAAAAGACAGGTTTTCCATTCCTCAGATCATCCTAGTAGCGCATATCTACAGTAAGCATATTCAATCACCTGTTAGTGTTTAATAGGAAAAAAAAAAAGCCATTTTCACCTTCCTACACACAAGTAAAATTTACCCCAAGAACCATGCAGAGAGGGCTGCTGTCATTCCCTCTCCTGGGGTTTGTATCAAAAGAAAGCAACTTAAAATTTTATTTGGGGCTCCATCCTGGTCCCATTCCCTCCTGGGTCTCTCACGTTCACTTTTTAGAGCTATGTCAGGCCCTTTATGGAGCAGGGGGATTGCTGGCTGATTGGACATCTGCCCTGTCCCTCCCCAAACAAGTGGGCATATTGCTTTGAGGGCCCACACCTCAGGTTCTGCTGGCTCACAGAAATCAAGAGGTTAAACTAACAGTGTTTTAATATACCTCCCCATCCCTTGTTATAAATTTAAATATTTTATAGAAGATTAGAATTTTCCATGTAATAAATTTAAGCATTAGTTTTATTACACCATAAAATATGACAATGTATTAGAATAGCTAAACAAAGAGTGGGTGTTCAGGAAGAGAGGATTTGTGGCTCTGCAGACCAGCTCGGGAAAGGTATTACATGTTTAAGGGGCTGCATGGAACAAAGGATGAAGACACTTATATAAGTGGGCAAGAAGGCAATGAAAGCTAGCATTACTGACAGAGCAAAGAAGATAAAAGAGTAGATAAGTAGGGGGAGGCATAGCCCTGGTCTTCACTACAAACTTACGTCGATATAACTGTTGCTCAGGGTTATGGAAAATCCACTCCTGGAGCAACATAGTTACACCAATTTAATCCTGATGTAGACAGCGTTGTGTTGACCAGAGAGCTTCTCCTGTCAACACAGCTACCTCCTCTTGGGGAGGTAGAGTCCTACGCCAATGGGACAAGCTCTCCCATTGGCATAGGTAGGTGTGCCACTGCAGTGCTGTAAGTGTAGACAAGCCCTATAGTTGCTAAAGGCCTTAAAGATGAGAACAAAAAAAACTTGAATTTGATGCAGTACAGAAGGTGGTACCAGGAGGCATTCAGAGGGGGCCTGACAGTCAAAATAAGCCAAGAAAATGACCTTAGTAGCAACATTTTGCAAGGAATTGATAGGTGTCAACCAAGAACGAGGCCAGACACAAGGCAGTTGTAGTAGCGAAGTTAAGAGATTATGAAGGCCCAGGTGGAACTTTTAATGATATGAACAGAGAGAAAAGAAGCAGTGTTGGATAGAAGGAGACAGGTCAAGAGTGGGGAGGTAGATTTGTGTGATACTGGCATAAAGGTTTCAGAGTATCAGCCGTGTTAGTCCATATCCGCAAAAAGAACAGGAGTACTTGTGGTACCTTAGAGGCTAACAAATTTATTAGAGCATAAGCTTTCGTGGGCTACAGCCCACTGCATCGGATGCATAGAATGGAACATATAGTAAGAAGATAGATAGATAGATAGATATACACACACACACACACACACAGAAGGCGGAAGTTGCCATACAAACTGTAAGAGTCTCTATTCTGTGGCAATTTTGCAACAGAAAAGCTTCAAAAACAGACTCCAATGAGAAACTGCTGAGCTTGAATTAATATGCAAACTAGATACTATTATCTTGGGTTTGAATAGGGACTGGGCGTGGCTGGGTCATTACACGTATTGAATCTATTTCCCTATGTTAAGTATCCTCACACCTTCTTGTCAACTGTCTAAATGGGCCATCTTGATTATCACTACAAAAGTTTTTTTCTCCTGCTGATAATAGCTCATCTTCATTAATTAGCCTTACAGTTTGTATGGCAACTTCCACCTTCTCTGTGTATGTGTGTGTGCGTGTATATCTCTCTTACTATATGTTCCATTCTATGAATCCGATGAAGTGGGCGGTAGCCCATGAAAGCTTATGCTCTAATAAATTTGTTAGTCTCTAAGGTGGCATAAAGGTGTAGCTGAAACTTTGTGAATGGATGCTATCCCCTAAAACAGTGGCTCTCAACCTTTCCAGACTACCGTACCCCTTTTAGGAGTCTTATTTGTCTTGCATACCCACAAGTTTCACCTCACTTAAAAAAGACTTGATTACAAAATCAGATATAAAAATACAGATGTGTCACAGCATACTATTACTGAAAAATTGCTTACTTTCTCATTTTTACATTATAAATCAATTGGAATATAAATCTTGTACTTACATTTCAGTGTTTTGTATATAGAGCAATATGAACAAGTAATTGTACAAAATTTTAGTTTGTACTGACTTCGTGCTTTTCATGTAGCCGGTTGTAAAACTAGGCAAATACTGTATCTAGATGAGTTGATGTACCAGCTGTAAGACCTCTGTGTACCCCCCGGAGGTACACATATCCCTGGTTGAGAACCACTGCCCTAAAGAAAGCGTGTAGGATACCTAGCCCCTGAGAAACATATATATGCTCACCACTGTGATATCTATATGTTTGTACAAGCACAGTTCACGTGACCAAGATTAGAATGAACCTAAACACAGGACATAAAATTTAGAATACACACTTTTTACTCCTGAATTTATTCCACATATTTCCCTATAAACAAGAGGGGAAAAAATGAACACAAGACATCTATAAACTGAAACTGGAGAATAAATTGGTTTACTTTTCAACTATTCTCTCCACCCTTTAAAAACTAGTTTTCCATAAAGGAGTGAAATAACTTCGATTAATTTTTTCTGCATTTAGACAATTGATACATTTGGTAGCACAAGATCATGAAACAGAATGTCATTTTATACCCCTGAAGAAACTTGTTATGGAGTGAAACTACTCAACTCTACATTTATTTTATGCACAAACATGAGATAAAGAAGCTAGCATAAAATAGTTGAAAGACAATTTTTAATATTTAAAACTCATTCAGATAACACAACAGAGATTATACCCACCACCCTTTAAATTAGCTAAGGCAACACAGAACTATATATGCTGGTTTACACATTTTGAAGCTGCACTTGAAAGGCTAGTTCCAAAAACATAACAGCCCTGGGGAACTAAATGATTGTGCAACAGCTCCAACTTGTTCCTGGCTCAGCGCACTAAAGATCGCACGCTAAGGGCCCGTTTAGGGAAATTGTGACAGACGACAATCAACTTTCAACTAAAGCCAAAAGCCACCCACACTAAGATAATTCACCTAAATAAGGAATAAGAGATGCAGGGCCTTCAAAATTCAAGTGCAGTGACATATGTTTTATATTTTATGCAGACTAAATATCACACAGATCCATGGAGTCTTGAGGGCCACCAGGGTGCCGGAACAATTTGTGTAATGGAGATGCTGAGAGCTATTGAACCAAACTGTAAACCCTGTATATGATGGAAACGACTTCAAGCCAGTTCCAGCATCTCAGAAGGCCACTGCCCAGAATCAGCATTGCAATCTCTCTTACCCATACTAGCTATCCTGAATGTTACCAGGTACTAAAGTGATGTAGTTAAGATTTTCAAGGCTGTAGTAAAATTTGGAAAGGAGTCAGCTGTTACAGTGCATGCTGGGGGAAGTGGGGACATAGTAAAAGAAATAATCTTTTAGAATAGTTAAATCTGTTGCGGGTAAATAGACTTTCTTTGAAAATAATGCTTACTATGGCTTCTATCCCTTACAGCTAAAACTGAAAGCTTTGCAACCTATTTTCACTCACAGGGCATTTTGATCTCACCCTAGCTTCCTCAGTCAATAGATTTTTCAGATCCTCTTGATTTCCTGATCTACATCTCTGGGAGGTGAGGCTGACTAGAAGTGGGAGGGTGCGGAGGGTCCACTCTTGACCCTCCCACAGCTCCTTGCACTGAGGGGCGGCCCCTGTATAAGATTTGTTGGCACCACAGGTGGCTGTTACTGGCGTTGCCTGACCCACATTTCAGGCCTCTTCCAAGGGGAAACATGGTGCAGATGGGGAAACTGAGTCACAAAAGGGTAAGTCCCAAGCTCTCACAAGATAAGAAGCAGCTGCTAGTTTTGGGCGCCCACCGCCCTGACGCGCCAGTTTCCCAGGAGCACAGGGGGCTCCGCGCCAGGCTGCTCCCTCGGCCCAGAAGGTACCGTGCTCTGCCCGCCCGCCTTGCCCAGGACCCAGCGGGCACCAGCCTGCCCCCTAGCCGGCCCCAGTGACTCATCACGTTCCCGGAGCCGGGGGAAACCGGACAGGCCCTGTGTGCAGGGGCGGGGCCGCCGCTCTTGCACCACCCCCCTTCGCCTGACATCCAGCAGCCCCCCGTGACCCGGCGTGTCACCACCCGGCCGGGACCGCCCCCCAGTTCAGGGCAGCGGGGGCTGCGTTGGGGGCGGCACGCGCCAGCGGCACCCCCGGGCTCCCGCCCGGGAGCATTTCCTTCCCGGCAGAGGGGCCCGGGGTCCAGACCCCGGCTCTCACCTGCGGGGCGGGCGGCACCTCGAGCTCCATCATGCTGGCGGCAGCGGGCACAGCCACCCCCGGCGCGGCGACTCTCGCTCACTGTCCCGCTGCTCGCTCCGACGCTGCTGGGGGGAGTGAAGCGAGCGGCCCCGGACGCGGGCGGCTGGGACAGCGAGCCGCCTCCCGTTCCGCCCCGCCTTCACCCCAGCCACTCACGGGCGCGGAAGCCGGAGAGGCGGCCCTTATCCTGGCAACAGCGGCCACACGGAGCAGCGCGGGGGTGGCAGGCCATGCTGACTCGGCCCGGCCGCGCCCCGCCCATCCTCACATCCCTGTCCTGTCACAAACCACCCTGACCCCGTCCGAGTCCCTCCCTGCCCTAAACCTGCCTGTCCCCCCAGAGCCCTGCTACAAAGCAGCGCGTCCGGGCCCCTCCTCTCTCCTCCCATCACTGCCACACACACACACACACACACCTGGCCCCCATCCTCTCACATCTCTCCCCAGAACCACCCACCCCCATCAGATCCCATCCCTGACACAAACATCAAGTGATTCCCAGATCCCTCCCCATTCCAACATATCTCTCCTCAACCTATTCCAACTCACCAGGTCCCTCTCCATGTCTACCACATTGCTTCCCCATCCAGATCCTTTATAAACCTATCCCCATCAGATCCTGCCACAATTTATCAAACCTTTCCCAGTTTACCTTAACTCATCCCATTTCCACCAGATCTGACAGATCCTTGCCTGCCTAATCTCAGCAGATTCCAATGTACCAAATCCATTTCCCCAATCCCAATATATCACAACCCAGCAGATTCACTGGATACCTTCCCAACTGATCCTGCCACACCCCAACTGATCAGCTCCTTAACAGATCATACTAGGTCCTTCCCCACCATTCCCACCAGATCTCTTCACCATCACACCCCACTAGATCCTTCCATGTCCCATCAGATCCGTCCCCACATCTCTGAGCTAATTTAGCAACCCTCACAGGAGTATCTAATAGAATTGGAGAGGAAAAGGAATCTGTCACTCCCACCAGATCTCACCCCACAGTTGTTAACTAATATGGCAGCTGCCATGGAAGCACCAGGCATGATAATAGGAGAACAGGGATCTATAGAAATTCCAACACATTTCTCAAAACTCTTAATATAAACTTATAACCATCATGGGAACTCCTGAGACACTCATAGGAGAGGAGTGCTCCGAATTACTCTCCTAGATCCTTCCCCACAGCTCTAAGTAACTTTGCTTAGTTCCTTGCAACCCACCAAAGGATTATTACTTTACAACGTTATTTTATTCCTACTCCTAGAAATCCTGTGCTGTTTAGCTGTGGAACAGTGCTGTAGCTTGCAATATGAAGCTGTACATCAAGGCATATATGGATCTACATCCATGAAGAAGTGTGCATGGTGCAATTTTGCTGCCTGTTTTCACAGAAGGTATTGGAAGGTAAAGGTAAACTCAGTCTGAGTTAAATCCATAGCTTTGGGTTTGAGGACATTACCCTGGGAGATGTTCTGTTATGCTGGCCCTGCATTTGTACAACCAGGTCTCACAATTTATGCACGTTCAGTTCTTGGAAGAGAGGCCTCTAGGAGAAACCCCAGAGTTCTGAAAGTATTTGTAGATTTAGTAGGTAGCACTGTTACTAGTCCTAAAGCACTGCCCCAGCACCGGAAGCTGTTTTGGCACAGGTGCCATCTTTCAAATGGGGTCCTGACCACTTTTGATAATTAAAGATCCCACAGCACTTTTCAGAAGAATAGAAGCATTAATCCTGGTGCACTGGCTAATTTCCAATGAAGGTAATTACATTCTTCCTGCTTTAATTCCCCCTGAAATTTAAATCTGAGACAGTATTCTTCACTTCTTGACCTCAAATGTTGCTGTATTTTGTTAAACAGCTGATATGTATCACTAGAAGTTTGTGCATTTCAGTAGTGGGTGAAAGTAAATCTTGTTAAATTTGTGATCTTTTGGGGGTGAAAGTCACTATAAGAAAGCAAGATGTTGTTATTTGTTATAAAGTTATAACAGGTCAAGATCAGTATCCATAATGCGTACACGGTGGTGGAGCTAATGGCGGCCTTTAGGTGTATGTGTGGTTCCTTTTAAAGCCAGTAAATATAATTGAAGATGGCACCACTAATGACCCATCACCCATCCTTGCTCTGCCACTGCTGAAAATGTGGCTTCACTACTGTGCATATACCTGTTCTAAGTGATATAGGTCACTGTGTTATTTAATACTCTCATGTCTAAGAAAGGATGTTGCTCTTTTGGGACAAAACATACAAACGAATGTACATAGTGTAACCAATTTATTTGAGCATGAGCTTTCGTGAGCCACAGCTCACTTCATCAGATGTGTACCGTGGAAACTGCAGCAGACTTTATATACACACAGAGAATATGAAACATGTTTCATATTCTCTGTGTGTATATAAAGTCTGCTGCAGTTTCCACGGTACACATCTGATGAAGTGAGCTGTGGCTCACGAAAGCTCATGCTCAAATAAATTGGTTAGTCTCTAAGGTGCCACAAGTACTCCTTTTCTTTTTGCGAATACAGACTAACACGGCTGTTCCTCTGAAACCTGTACATAGTGTCAGGTTTATAGATTTGAAACCATGGACAGAGAAAAGAGATTGAATTTCCTGTTTGTCATTTAAATCTGGAACAGCTGAAAATATCCTATTTTATATTTTAAAATAAGATTCTACGTGAATTATATATAGCATTTATATAGTTAATTTCGTCTGCAAAGTACTTTACAAGCATTAACTAAGGTCTTCTTCTAACTGGAGGATTTGCAGCTGTGCAAATGTCTAACACAGATGTGCTGTCCCAGTATGCTGATGCAGCTTCCCTGGTTTGAAAAACCAGGGTGAGCCACACCAGTGGAAAGTTTAAAGTTTCTCACCACAAACCTGAATATTCCCATTGTTTAATATGAGGCTTATATAAACTGCAGGAATTTGATCTTATGTCTCTTTAATATTATAGTACTTGGTATATTTACACCACTCCTGTCATTATTATCATCATCATCACACATTTGTCACTGTAATCACTCCAGAAAATAGAATTTCATGTTTCCCTTGTTTCTTTCACTAGCATGTCTCTGATATATGTTTATTACAAAAATAGAAAGCCTTCAGTGTAGTTATATACATCTTATACATCCAATTGAAGAATGCAAACTATAATCAGAATGCCTTAATTACATGACTCTCCTTTGTTAAATATACCAGGTACCTTTATCTAGAATACACCTGCTCTGCTCTTGTAATTCAGGTAGAACATGCTGCAGTGTCACTGGACATATTCGGTATGTATAAGGAGAATACATACGTTCTATCACTGAATGTACTGGGTATGTCTATGCAGTGTTATGGTAGCCGTGTCAGTGCCAGGGTATTAGAGAGACAGTGTATGTGAGGTAATACCTTTTATTGGACCAACTGTATGTGGTGAGAAAGACAAGCTTTCGAGCAGAATACACAAAGCATTCTGGTTATGCTATGTCCTTGATTTCAAGGAGAAATATTGCATGACAGCACCACAGCAATTGTGATGGAGGACCAGGAGCAAAAAAGTTATGTCACTTTTTTTTCTTTCACTGGTCAATTCCAGTTTGCTCTGATCCAAGAATGACCCCACTGGCTGCTAAAACCAGATTGAATGTTGGAAACCCTGGAGAAACAGAGCTTTAAAAAGGGAAAAGGCCTGTCAGTAGTTAAAAAACCTTTTGATTCCAAGTGCTCTCAGTTCCAGACTGTCTCCTTGAACATGATAGTTTTATTGAATACCATTTATTGAGTTTTTCAGTATCATAAAAGAACAGCACCAGGAAGACACGGAACATTAGCACAAAACAAATAACACAAAGTGTCTGTGCATGAAAAATTGCATAGATGTCCTTTCCATATGATCCATCGAATGGAAAGTTGTACAAATAGTGAAAAGAAGCAAATATGAGCCATTAGAGTGAGTATATATATTGTATCACAGTATAGAAATACCATGGCAAACAGTTTGCTTGGCGAGTGTGGGGAGGATAAAAGCGGAAGCATACTTTCTGGCCAGGCCAGATAAAGGAGCATTGAATATATATTTTAGTTTGTGTTCCTTGTTAATTTATTTTTTCTTCCTCTCCTTGCCTTCACACCCTCAGCACAGGAACCCTTTGGCCTTCACCACTTACAAGTAATGCAACCATCCCAATCTCATTTTAATTTAACTGTCATATCACACTACACTATTCTCCCTATACCATGGGAAAGTATATTAGGATCTTTCTCAGTGAAAGAAGCTGTATGAAATGTGAGCTGTAACTTTATTAAAATTATTGCTGTTATTTTCATTTGATTAGACTAAATAGTCTGAGGCATTTTGACATGAAGTTCTACTGATTTGCTTGTTACTTAACCCTTAGCATTTTTCTGTTCTTCAAATTAAAACTTGTTAAAGAAAGTGTTTCTACCCAATACTTCTTCAATCCCAGAAAGAATCCTTGAGGAGCATTCAGCCTTTTTTGTGATAAAATAACATATCTCTATAGAAGCAGATACATACAGGGCCTGAATATAAGACTTTTGGCCTCCACTTCTAGATATTAAATTTTGTTGATGCACACGAATGTACATGCACTTTTCCACCCCTCACATTTCGATGCATAGCTATGCATGTAGCTAATACAATCTGCATGTATAAATTCCAATACCTACACATGCTGATATTCATTTTTGAGCTGTACACCTAGTTCTTATACCACAGTGATGAGCTTCTAAAAACGCAGATCAGTAAATAGATGTTACTGCTAGAAAATTTGCAGCAGATGTGTTTGTGTACTAACAAGCATGTGCACAAGGGCCATGTAAGTTGATGCCCTACGGAAGACTCAGGCTCACTAAATGTATGATAGCTTATGCAGGGGTTTTTTTTATCAAGTATTTATAAAAAATACATAATATATTAAAAAATTACATTTTCTCCATTGTCTCCTTTTAGTCATTCTCTATATTTTTGTTCTGGCATTAAATCTTTCCCAACCATGTAGAGTTTCAATTAAAAAAAATGATTTTTTTTTCAATTTGAGCAGCATTGTTTTAAATAAAATACTTTATTCTGTTGATTGGAATGTGTTTACAGATAATGTCTCTGATTTTTTAAAGACAAGATTAGCAATTATAAAACATTTGTTTTGGGATATTTCTGGGTTAAAGTTATAGCATAAGAGGGCTTTGGAGAAACTCTGTTTTCTAAAGAGCCTGTGTAACCATTCACAATTATTACAATATAGAAACAATATTATTGTGAAGGTAGAAACCACCAGTGCCACCTACTGCTTAAAACATACAACTAAAAAAGACTTGCAAGTTTGTATATTTTCAAATAAAAAAAATAGAAGAAATTAACTTTGCTTAAAATTATTTCAAGTTACTGAAAGATGCTTGAGATAGATTCTGAAATCCTTACTGGGGTAAAACTCTAATTGAAGTTAATGAGAATCTTGCTTGAGAACTGACTGAGCACTTTTGCCCTTGGTTAATTTGAGATCTGTGATTTTGTGTTGGAAATGCTTACTGATGTTGTATTTTTAACAACTCTTAACTTTCAAATTGATCACCATAACACCATTGGGAAAATATTGGTGGGGAGAAAGGGGTTCAATGTAAAAAGATTTATATAAACTCCACTATGAGGCAAAGTTCTATCTTTAATTGAGGGATCTGGACAAGACAGGAGGTTGGGAGAGTGAGGCCAACCACATATATGATACAAAAGCCACCTTGCTGTGTCAAGGCAGGATCACACAGATGTGGCAAATGAGCTGCTGACCACAGTGTAGCTTGATGTGCTCCATAGCTGACAGACCATGCCCTCATGAGGCCAAGATGCAATAGGTACTTCCTTTTCTTAACCTCTTGAGAAAGACTGTATTCTACTATTAATGGGAGAGCAAGCATATCCATGTGATCTCTCTTTCTCCTAGTTTGTTAGCACAGGACAGGATTTCTTACAAAGTGTGGCACCATGATGGCACTAATTTTATAACAGAAAAGAGGTAGGACTTTATTCACATCTATCAGTATGATGGTGGGCCATTCCTACTCTCCCACAGGAGCATGTAGCTGCTGCCATTCTCCATCAGGGAGAGCAGCTTTAAATTCTGCCCAGCAGAGTCAGAAACAATGCATTTTTTACAGGCCCTGGGCCCAGGCCCTTCCTAGCTGGTCCCACCCACTTTGTAGCCCTGGGACCAGGACTGGGATTTTTTGGATTTGTGACCCTAAGGATTTCTTTCTTATTTAAATGTTGTGTACTTTAAACCTTAGATTTTAAAACCCCTTCAAGACAAGAATTGTCTTTCCTGAGGCTAGCATATTTGAAATCACTAAAAGGATTTGTGAGGACAATTCAGCTGCTTTGTGATAGAATTTTAGAAGCCACAAGAGGAACACTGCACTGTCCCCTTCTTTATTCACACTGAAAAATGACTGATGCTATGGCTATATCCATCGGCTGTGATTGTCCCTGGCACAAACAAACTCTTCTGCTCAATGGACTAGTTTTCGTTTTGAAAAGAATTTGCTTGTAATTCTTTTAAACTGCCTTTTCCATGCAGTTTTTGCCAGCAGTGGACATTATACAAGAAAAATTCTGCTCCTGCTGCCAAGGAGTTAACTTGATAACATTGTAATAAGTAAAAGGGTGTTTGTTTCTCTGTTATTGAACTGTCCCTGACTTCCACAAAGCACAAAATCATGCTGAGTTTAAAAAACAAGTCATGTCAAATTTGCTGTATTCACTTTCAACATTTTTGTATTTCTACCCAGGCACAACATTGAAACTGCTGTTTTCAGGAGAAGGTGAAGGAGGCCACTGGCAGCCTCCCCATCTCTGGAAGGAGGAGCAAGGCTCCCCTGATAAGATTGCAGTCTAGAGATGGGGAGAAAGTTCTTGTTTGCCTCTTAGCTGCCAAGGAGCTCTGCTGTCCACACAGTTATGCAGCAAGTATCTTTCGTTTTAATATAATTCAGATTAAGTAATTACAGCAATGCACAATGTACTCTAGAAAATTAGAAAGGTTGAAAATTTGTGTTTTTTTTTAATATGCACACACAAATCAAAATCAACAGGAAAATGAATAACCTATTTGGTGGTAGAATGTACCAACAAAATAGTGTAATAAAAATGAAATTATTTAAAGTAATATTCCAATCATACAGTCATCATTGATTTAGTTTCCAATTATACAGAGGTAATTGTATTAAGGAACTGCCTCATTCACTGCTTTCTGAGGAAATGCTTGAGTGTTTTAATGTCCTGGCATCTGCAGGTAATAAATGATCTAATCTGCACTCTTTACCTGACTGGAATCCTAATTCTTGTTTTACTTAAGGTGACCTAGGGCATATATTAGACAGCATCAGTATGTTTGAGGATTTATGACCTGATTGTCTAAACATGGAATAGTTCTAATCCTGAATAACTCTGTGCGTTTAGACACTTATTCCAGAATAAGCATGCCTTGTTCCTGTTTAGTTTAACCCACTCTGAAAGTGGATTAAGCTAAACAGGAACAAGGCACTCTTATTTTCAAATAAGAGTATCTAGATAGAGAGTTATTCAGAAATAGCGATTGTGCTTTATTTAAACTTACACTATACCTTAATCCACATTAATGTTAGTCTCTCTGCACTTTCTCTCTCCACTGTGCTTATTGGCTGTTTGCACCAACCCTCTCCTTCCCCCTCCCCAGTGGTGCTCAATCTGCAATTTACTGACTATATAGGAAACATCTTTAAAATATTTAGCCGTGTCTCCTAGACTAGTGCACCTTATGACTCAAGGAGTTATATATCTGTAAGGAAAAATATTATACAATAGTTTGGGGGCTAGCACATGCCTAGTAGTCACAACTCCATGCTCAATATGGCATTGAGTTGCACTGCTGTCCTTTAGGAATTTAAATCCAATTATAGCATAGGTGTCCTGACCCAAACTCTGTCTGCCCTTCCCACTCCATTTGGGGGTGATGAGTGCTCCCAGGGACTCAGACAGAGACTAGTTTCTGCATTAGCCCAGAGACTGCAATTATTCCTGGACTTTGCACAGAGCATACAAATGGTGTGTGGGGAGGGCGGGGGGAGCAGCAACAGTATGGTCCTGTTGTCAAGGTAATTGTGGCCTTTCATTCGCTGATATCAGACACAAGACAAAGCATGTGCTGGAACACTTCTCCTATTCAAGTATCCGAGGGTGTCACAGGTGCTTAAATAAATGTGTGCATGTGTGTCAGATTATCTACTATATATTCATCACCCCTCCTTAGCTTCTTCCTAAACTTCCCTACCCCATATTCACCCCAAATCATGAAAAGATTGCACAACAAGCAGGAAAACCCATGCTGTTTCTTATTTGACCTATTGGGAGAAAGAAGAGGATATGGCTGCCATAGGCTCCAACTTCCTCTCTACCTGGGGGGGTGCTTGACAAGCTCCGCCCACAGTCCACCCCTTCCTCCAAGCCCCCTGCCCCACCTATTCCCACCACATCTCTTCCCCGTCCTCTCCCCGTCCCCGCTTCTCCTCCTCCCTTCCAGCGCGTCCTGCATGCTGCGGAACAGCTGATCTGCAGCGGGCAGGAGGGGGAGAAGTTGATCAGCAGGGCTGCTGGTGAGGGTGGAGGCGCTGGGGGGATGGCTGCTAACATGACCAGCAGCTCTTCATTTATGAGAATTTCCTTCTGGTGTCTTCATGGTGTGGGAATACAACATATGTCTATCCCTCTTCCTGTGAGGGCTCACAGGCCTTGAACCCAGATCCACAGGTCCTCAGGTAGCACTTGGGCCATGACTGCCACCCAACAGCTCACCTGAGTAACATTTAGCTTTCAGAGGGCCCCGCCTCCAAAGCTCCCGACTGGGGGAACCATTCAGACTCCCAATTGGCTAAGGAGTACTACAGGAAGTAAACCAGGAAGTAACAACAGGAAGTTGTCTGAGCAGCTAGAGGAATCTTTGTCTGACTGCTAGCATGGACCCTTCTTGCTTCCCAGACTCCTGAGACTTCCTTCCCTGCCTGCTCCTGGTTCCTGTCCTCTCATTCCATACTCCTGTCTACTCCCAGTCGTTGCTGTCCTTCCCTCCTCCAGGCCCCTGCTTCTTCACCTTACCCCTGACTTTGTCTCTGGCTCTGACCCCGGCTTACTACTTGATGTTGTCCCTGGCTTGGCACCTGATTCTTCTCCCCCTCCTTCTGGCTCTGACCTTCGGCTTGGAACCTGATGCTGGCTTTGGTTTTGACCCTCTGTTCTGAGTGCCCAGGCCCCGGTCATTACACCTCCCTCCAATGTATTTTAACTGTTCTGCTACCCAAGCATTGATCAGCATGTTTAAAGTGTATTGCAACCCCTGATTATTGATACCTCTGTATCCTGTACAGGGGTATCAATAATCAGTCAGAGATTAAAAAAAATCCCTGTTAAGTCATCCAGGCCCAGCCATCTCCATGTCTGTGCTTTTCCCCTAATGTTTTGTCTAGTCTAGTTTTCTGTGTCTAAAGTGATGGGGTTTTATCTGCTTCCCTTGTTCCACAGCCTATAAAGGATCTCACTGTCAGGAAATTTCTCTTGATATTCAATCTGAATTTTCCTTTTAATTTAACTGTTTACTTCTAATTTACATCCCCTAGTCCCATCCTAAATAATTCCACTTGATGCCTGGTTTACACACCCATGAAATATCTGTAGACAGTTATTGGCTTGGACCCTGCAAATTCCTGTGTAGTGCTGCTCAGCAAGGAGTGCAAGGATATTTTGCTCAAACATAAGCATGAGTAAAGACTGTGTTTTGGCACAAGGAATAAGCAAAGGTGTCTTCCTTTTCAGTGAGCAGAATGTAAGTCCCTTGGGTGCCCACTCTCTTATTCTCAGAGCCTGGGCTAAGAAAGGGGAAAGGTCTATATGAAAATGGGTAGTTATATGCATTTAACTTTTTAACATTTTCCTTATAAATCAATCCATCCAGCCTGCTGATTATTTTTTTTGGCTCTTTGAATTTCCTTCCATTTGTCAATGTCCTTCTGAAAATATGGTGACCACAGTTGAATGCTTAAATCCAGGGTCACAAAGAGAAGGAGTTTGACCTTCCTACTCCATGCTGTGATACCTTTCCATATACAGAGCTAAACTGCACTGGCCTTTTTTCCCAGCCATATCATATTGCAAACTCATGTCTGGCCTGCTGTCTCTTTCACACCTAGGTCTCTTTTGGCATTACTGCTTTCCAGGTTACTCCCTTGCATTAACTAACTGCTTTGGATTATTAGTCTTTAGATTTATCAATTTGCATAATTCCATATTAACTCTCATTTTGTTATTTTCTGTATATTTTAGTAAACTCTTTAAATCCCATTTAAAATTTCTCTGTCCTCACTATCATTTGCAGCTCTTTGCAATTTACTGTTATCTATAAAGGTCAGTGACCTGATGCAATTTACTCCCCCTTCCAGATTATTGATGAAGATGTTAACAAACAAACAGACCTGCCACCAAATCCTGCAGTACCCTATTAAATACCTCTCCTAACTCAGTGCATTTGTTTACAGTCTTTCAGCCAGTTTTCAATGTATATTAGGGTGTTGTAATGAACCTGCAGTGCTAGCTCATTACTGGGTATCTCTCCCCCATGCTGGCAGAACTAGGGATCTAGCCATTAGATGGCACTATGTTACTCCATTCAATATACTGCCTGTAGAGAGTATAGGAAAAGGAAGTAATCAACCTGAGCTCAGAGGGGCCAGTCAGAGAGAGAGAGGGCATGTCTACACTTATGGGGATCGATGCTGTGGGGATCGATGCACTGGCGGTCGATTTAGCGGATCTAGTGAAGAGTCTAGTTGATGGAAGAGTGTCTCCCGTTGACCCAGTGCTGCGTAGATACTGCAATAAGTCGACCTAAGTTCATTGACTCCAGCTATGTTATTCACATAGCTGGAGTTTCGTAATTTAGGTCGACTTACCCCCCATAGTGTAGACAAGGCCAGAGAGAGAGCAAGGCCATGTGTAAACAGAAGCAGCAGTCTGGGAGTTGACAGTGTAAGGAAGGCTGGCTTGCAGGCAGCGAAATAGTTTGCTGGCAGAGCACTATTAGTAGCAGAAGGAGGATACTTGGAAGTAGGATACATGACCACAATTCCATGTGTTGTTTGCAGGACCCACTGGTTACTTCTATACCCCACTACTGGGCTGCGCCAAGGACTGGGTTAGCTACCACTGGGTTGATTAATGTGTCTACAGTAATTGGCCCATTTATTTCTGTCAACTCCAGTAAAATAATCCTGTTACTTCCCCAGACTCTGACCAATGTTAATGTTGACCCACGGCGGGCTAGAGCCTAGTGCTTAATGCACGTACAGCGTTTGCCTCTGGGACACGGAGCACACTGCCAGACATTTAGGGGACTGGTGTACCACTGCAACACCCTGCAGTGGGGGCAGTCATAGTATTCCTATAAAGCCAGTTTTCATAAGAAATAGTATGAATCCTTTCCAAAACCCTAGTATATTACATCTACAGCCTTCCCTTCATCCATCATGTTTATAAATCTGTCAAAAAAGAGCAATCAAGTTTGTGTGACAAGATTTATTCGTCATAAATTCATAGTGCTTATTGCTCATGCTTCCACTATCATCAAAGTGTTGAGTGATTATCTCTCAATGATAGCTGTATTATTTTACCAGGTGTAGAAGTTAGACTTAGAATCATAGAATCATAGAATATCAGGGTTGAAAGGGACCCCAGAAGGTCATCTAGTCCAACCCCCTGCTCGAAGCAGGACCAATTCCCAGTTAAATCATCCCAGCCAGGGCTTTGTCAAGCCTGACCTTAAAAACCTCTAAGGAAGGAGATTCTACCACCTCCCTAGGTAACGCATTCCAGTGTTTCACCACCCTCTTAGTGAAAAAGTTTTTCCTAATATCCAATCTAAACCTCCCCCACTGCAACTTGAGACCATTACTCCTCGTTCTGTCATCTGCTACCATTGAGAACAGTCTAGAGCCATCCTCTTTGGAACCCCCTTTCAGGTAGTTGAAAGCAGCTATCAAATCCCCCCTCATTCTTCTCTTCTGCAGGCTAAACAATCCCAGCTCCCTCAGCCTCTCCTCATAACTCATGTGTTCCAGACCCCTAATCAGCCCCTAGTCACAGGCTAAAGCAGAACCCTTGCTTAAATACTCAGTGATCTCTGAGCAGCCTGAGCCCACTGGTCAGTGTGTTGTGGATCCCGCTCTCTGCCCAGTCCACAAGGATGTGAGTCTTACAGCTCCAGCTAGAGAGCCAGTTTCAGGCAGAAGAGACTGC